CGGGGTACCTTCTTGGAGTCTTGATTGTAAGGGAATCCTACTGTTTGGTTTCTATTTTAGGGGTCTCCTATTTTCGTACACCCCCCCAAATATGTACCCTCAGAGGCGCCATGCAGCTCAGGGCCCAACCCTTCTTCCTCGTCCTCCTCGGCCTTTGGTGTGGGCCTTGGTGCTGTGATGCTTAGGGCATCTAGGGTTTAGGGCTTAGGGCTTAGAGTTTAGGGTTTAGGGGGTTAGGGTTTCGGGTTCAGGGTGGGAATGGCGAAGATGCCAAAATCGCAAAGGAGTGTCGGGTGAAGGCCGGCAGCATGCCAGCCGAAGCGTTTGTTTTTGTGTCACTGTAGATGCCATCTTGCGCCGCTTGCTTAGCACAATGCACACGGTTTAAGGTTTAGGGTTTAGGGTCTAGGGTTTAGGGTCTAGGGTTTAGGGTTTAGGGTTTAGGATTATGAAGGAACCACAGGAATCACAGTGATCCAACTTGCGGGGACCATCTCTGACGTTCGACAACTTACTGAAGCAAAATTGTACATGGCACGCATATGCAACACACGACAGGACTGTTCTCATACAAGGGAGTACCTGCTGCAAAGTGGTCGCCAGCCGCATGCTCTGGTGCTCAAGATAAAAGCATCAACAGATTTTTGCAAGTAATCTGAACCTTTTCCTAATTTTACCTACAGTAACTTGTATTTTGAGGAAAACAAAGGGAGGTAACACTTAGACCGGGCAAGAGGGACACCCCAAACTAAGCTCGTCTAAGCCCCTGCCCCTTCGCCCGAAGCCTCGTGGCCTTCTGCTAACTTCGTCGAACCTTCTCTGCATTCGCAGGGGCATCTACACTCCATGGGTTAGTCTTCCAGCTGGCCCTTGGCTGGACCCTTCGTGAATCTGTCCTCAGGTTCGCAGAAGTTCGTGGCACCCGGCTCTGCCCCGCTAAGTTCGTGGAATGGGTGCCTGTTGCCCGTCAGGCGGTTACCTACCTCCGTGTTGCCCTGATGTATGGCGTTTGCCTGAGAAGATCCTCCCACTTTCCGCGCAGGTCCCGGGACGTAAAGGCTCTGCCATTCCCATGAGCTCCACGAGTACCATGTCAACGTTGGCGACCGAGAGGGAACGAGCCCTGCTACTGTCGGCACTAGCCTGATAGGCTTCCATAATGGACCGCGCGTCCTCCCCTGAAAAAGTTGCCGTACGCAGCATGAAGAAAGCTCTCCATCAGTCACCATAAACCCCAAATGCTTGGGGATGCTGCTGCGTGTCGGGTGCCGGAGTCTCGGCAAAGCCTGAGCTGTTTGCATGGGGCAAAGTGGGGGAGGAGTGCTACTTGGAGGCTGGGGTTGTCACATGTAGAGAACATTGCCCGGAGGCATCCGAAGGAATGTCACAAGTCATATCGCAAGTCTGCAGAGAAATACTCAGGCCACACAAGAAAAGCCGAGGCAAAGGCTCAACTTCGAAGCATCGCCATCCTGTGGCGATCGTTTACAGGCTCTTTTCGTGGCCCCGAGGCTCTCTCGAAGTTAGTATCCATCAGGGTAACCATGAGTTGCCATCATTGAAGCCTTAAACCCTAAACCCTAAACCCTGAACCCCTTCTACCAGTCCTTGGACAGCTTCTGCCACAAGAGCAGCAGCGTGTTGAGGTCCGGCAGCCGGGCTTGAATCCGGACTTGCATCTCCTGGCTTTTATTGTTTAGGGCTTGTTCTACTTCAAAACATCCACTCTCTCGCACAGTCGTCGGATCGCAGTCGCAGATGAAATGAAGTCCAGAATTGTGCTAGATTTCAGCGGCGCAGTGGCTGTCGTAGCGGCAACCCGTGTCGTCGCTATCATCGGCCTCGCGCCTGTTGTCATAGACTCCATAGATTCCGCCGTCGCTGTGGCATCGTACGGGTGCGGACTCACCCACCAGAATGAACCGAACCGGAAACCCTAAACCCTAAACCCTACACCACCACCACTCAGCACATCAACGCACCAATCAATCCTCCAATTCAATTAAACAATCAATCAACCAAGTCAGGCAAATCAGTCATCCATCCATAAACAGACATGCTGCCAGTCCTCCCGCTCTGCTGGCGCCCAGTCTGGGCTTCGGAGCGTGCGCTGCAGTCGCCCCAAGGCCTGGGGAGGAATATTCGGGTTTACGGTTTAGGGTTTGCAAGGTTTAGGGTTGCAGAACCATAGAATTCCCCTACTGACCCTGTGCGTGCCCGAGCGCTGCACTGCTTGTAGCAGGACCAGTGCTCCCAGTTGCACAGGCGGCTGTGGCTGGAGGAGTGCCTAAAGGAAGAAGGAAGGGGCTGTGGACCACCGGTCGGCACGAGCGTTTCTTGACACGAGCATCCTTGCTTCTGCATTCCGAGCAATCTTGCCAGACTTTTCTGGAAGATTGCTTGGACCAAGTGATAAGCAACAGCATTCGTCCCGATTCCAGTTATACAGCCCCGCCTGCGTCACGAGCACCTTCTGCATTGCTTGAGGCACCAATGCCTCTTGAAGCCAGGACCTGAATTGGGGGTTACGATGATAAGGGGCCCCAAATGTAAAAAATATAATCCCCAAAAAATGTAGGATCCCCTTATACTAAGGACCCCAAAAAGGGCACCCCCGAATTTGGGAAATCCCCAAATTGGATTCGTGGATGCACCCGAAAGAATCGAAGCCCTGGCTTCCATTGAAGATTGTGCAAACCTGTCCTTCCAGTAGGAAATAGGATGAGGGGGGGACCCTTGGGGATATAGACCCTCCGAAGAAGGTCCCTGTGTTAAGAGAGTCAGAAGAGGGTGTAAGAAGGGTTCCCTTTTAAGGGTCTCCCTTATCCTGCCTAGCATCCAGTTCCTCCAAGACATGCACCCTGCGGAGGCTGGCACCATTGAACCTTTAAACCCTAAACCGTAGACCCTAAAACCCATAAACCCTAAACCCTGAAGTCTAAGCCCTAAACGCATAAACCCTAAACCCTAAAGTCCAAACCGTAAACCCTAAACCCTAAGCCCTAAACCCTAAACCCTAAACCCTGGCATCTGTAGCAGTCACAACCCAAGATCCTCAAGCAACTCGGCTCATCTCCTGAGGCCACGTCATGCGTAGGGCGGTCTCAGCCCCAGGGCCCACCAGCGCCGAGGCCTGCGGCGAGAGGTTCGGGGAAGTTGCCTGCAAAGGACCTTAAGTTTAGGGTTTAGGGTTTAGGGTTTAGGGTTTAGGGTTTAGGGTTTAAGGGTTTAGGGTTTAGGGTTTAGGGTTTAGGGCTTAGGGCTTACCCGGTTCGAAATGTGCCGGTACATCCTCTCCGGTCCGTCCTCCCGTGAGAACAAAAGCAGGAATGCCACTGGAATGCCACATCCACCCCTGAAAGCCCCCCCCCCGCAATGTCCAACACTGTGTTGCCCAACCCTAAACCCTAAACCCTAAACCCTAAACCCTAAACCCTAAACCCTAAACCCTAAACCCCCAGACCTCTGCCCTCAGCGAGGTCACATCCATGCCCAGCAGTGTGACCAGAAAACCCACGCCGCGGAACCAGGACCTGGCTGTCTTCTTAGGGTGGCTACATGGGTTTAGGGTTTAGGGTTTAGGGTTTAGGGTTTAGGGTTTAGGGTTTAGGGTTTAGGGTCCCTTAAAACGGGGAGCCCCCTCATAGACCCCTTACATCCCCTATACATATGTAAGAGGGAGCGACAATGAGCAGCACTCTCCATGCGTCGGTTTTTTGTAGGCGTGCGGTTTAGGGTTTAGGGTTTAGGGTTTAGGGTTTAGGGTTTAGGGTTTAGGGTTTAGGGTTTAGGGTTTAGGGTTTAGGGTTTAGGGTTTAGGGTTTAGGGTTTAGGGTTTAGGGTTTAGGGTTTAGGGTTTAGGGTTTAGGGTTTAGGGTTTAGGGTTTAGGGTTTAGGGTTTAGGGTTTAGGGTTTAGTTTGCGAAGAAAAGACATGAGCCCATGCTGGCACCGCGTCATCCGTGGCTGCAGCGGCAGCTTGAGTCTGGCGCAGAACCTCAGAGAGATGAGAGTCTTAGGGTTTAGGGTTTAGGGATTAGGGTTTAGGGTTTAGGTTTATAAAATACTAGAAAAACAGTTCGAAGAGGGTTTGCGGGTTTGTTTACTGGCAGCTCTCAGAGGGTGAGTTCCTCAGAGTCTTCGCAAACTACTTTGGCATGCATGTGTTTGCCACAACTTAGGGGTTTAGGGTTTAGGGTTTAGGGCTTAGGGACAACACAATGAAAAGCCAAGAAATGAAGACTTACAAGCTGGGTGTGACTGCCCTTCCCAACTCGGTAGCCAGTGCCACACATGGGCTCGGAGCCCTAAGAAACAGCCCACGCTTTTTCCATTCGCTGACACACGTGGGGCCCCTGGCTCTGCTGGCATAACCCTAAACCCTAACCCCTAACCCCTAACCCCTAAACCCTAAACCCTAAACCCTAAACCCTAAACCCTAAACCCTAAAAGAAGACTGCCGGCTTGCAGCTGCGGCTGCATGCACATGCAGAGAAAGCCAGCAAAGCGCCGTGCCACTAAGGGGAGTCGCCGGCATTGTAACCTTAAGCGGAGCTTTGGGAGGTGCTTTCAGATGAACCGAGTCTATCGAGGCGGAGGTGACGACAACCATGGACTTCTGTCTTAAGGCGTTGGGCATCGGGGGCATAAGGGTGATGTGTTGGATTGATTCGAATGGGGTACAGGTCGAAACTGAACAGGAAACCAGAGGGGTTTGGAAAAGGATCGTGTGCAGCGTGAGTAAGGTCGGCGAACGACATCGACAATTCGCCACACTCACATCCCAAACACTAAGACCCAGCTCTGTGATATCCATTCTGGTGCTAATACAAGTAGGCAGGTTGTAACGGTTGTAAACTGCTTGTAGCCAGAGCGAATGTTCAAGCAACCCTCGCGCCCGCAACTGCTTGAATTGTTGTACCCCGTGTGCCGGAGGACCGCGAATTTGTGCTTGTCTGCTGCCATTCTTGAGGTAAAAAGCTGCGTCGCACAGCTTCGCAATCAACCCCCCCAAGCCCATGGTTGGCTCTGTGCTGCCGGAAGGCTGTTTTGCCGAGTGAACAGGTCAGAGTGGCTGTGCGTCCTGCGCACGTACTGGGGCTGCAGGCATGGACAGACAGTGCTGTGCGATTGTTCGGCACAGCTATATATGGCTATTCAGGCGGCACAGGCCTGGTGCTTACTCATCTTACTCATTGCTTCCGGCTTGCATGAGCAGGCCAGGGACCCAAACTCTCCTGATACGCAACAGCACATGCTAGCACCATCTCCATCCCGCGGCCTGTACGCGAAAAGCTCATCCAGAGTGACTCCAAGTGGAGCTCTCCCGCGGCGGTAAATGGTCCAATCTGCCACCTGGCCAGCGCCGGATGCCCAAGTTTGGTCAGCTTGAGGATGCTTGAGGCATCCCGACAGCAACGCATGCTCGTGGCCACACAGCACAAAATCTCCCGGATATGATCACTCCGACAACTCCCACGCTCCGTCGGCCTGTGGCGCAAGGGTCGCTCTGAAGGAGTGGTGTGTCCGCACAGAGACTGCACGGTCAGGAACCACCGCCATGGCCTCGTCCTGAGCTTTGGCAGGTTTGGGCACTGGCTTGTGAGGCCCAAAAAGTCCTCCTCTCTAGACGATTCTAGAATTAAGTTCTATTTGCGGACTTTGGTGGAGCTCTCGCTCCTCTTGAGAAACTGCAGTGATGCTAAGGGTAAGGAGTCGTTGAGGTCACGCCCCGGCCCAGGCAGAAGTTCCGCGGCTTTCGCCCAGGTGCGGCGCTCGTGTACGGTCCAAGCTGAGCTCTTGCCCATGTGTAGCCCCACAGGATTCGCAGGTTGCTGTCTGCTTCTGTATTTAAATTTCGGCCTCGCCCGGCGTGACACATCGCGCTCTCCTCTAGGTCCCGCGGGCATTCTGTGCCAGAATCCTGCTGGGGGCTCCAGTGCCCTAAACCCTAAACCCTAAACCCTAAACCCTAACACCTTTTTGAGTCTTTTGAGGCTTCGACATGATCTTTCCTGGTTTGGGTCTTGCATGGTTTCGCTTGGTGCATCCGCTCGGAGGTCGCGCTCACGCCTCTGTCCCGTGCGCTTGCTGGCGCAGTGTGAAGTGCTTGGGCCCTTGGAATGTTTTTGGGGAGTCTTCCTATGGAGGTGATGCGCGCATCATCTACCCAAAAATACCCGAAGATGGCACATCTAAAGGCCACCAGGCATGATCTGTGCACCATCCTCCCTCATGCTGGCTATGCATCAAGTCCAGCATCTAAGGCCACAGGACGCACATCATGACGTCATCGGTGCTGACATGTGCTTGCATTGACTACTCATATATCAAGTCGACGAAGCTCCGTGGCCGCGAGCCTCATATGATGATGAGTAAGTATCACGCGCACAAAGTTCTAAAACCCCACGCTCTGATCCGATCTTGGTCAGCTGAGTCTCCCGATTCATATGGCTTTGATGAAATCGCTGCAGATCCACGGTGTGTTGACCGTCCATGTTGATGGACACGCATGGCTCGAATGTCCTTCTCAAGCGCAAGAGGTCTCCACTTCGGACATCAGACCAGACCATCGAACCCCAACATGGACATCCTTATCGGGATATCCTGGGGGTGTGGAATCCCTAAACCCTAAACCCTAAACCCTAAGAACCCTCATATGCCCGAAGGCGGGTCCTGTTCCAGAAAAGGTCATCCAGGGTGTAGGAGTGTCTGGCCTCGAAGCTCGCGGCCGTGGTTTGCTCCACACCGCTCACCTGGGCTACTGTGCTGAAGCCCTAAACCCTAAACCCTAAACCCTAAACCCTACACCCTAAACCCTAAACCCTAAACCCTAAACCCTGCCTCTTTGCCTTTCACACCCCCCCCCGCCCCCCCTCCAAAGTCAGATTTTCTCAGGTCCCGACCAGCACCAGTATCTCCAAGTACTTCGACCTCAGAAACATACCGGAGCCCAGCCTGTTTGGTAGTTCTGCCCCTTGATGGAGGAGTCTGTTGGTCCCAAGTCACGGCTCACATTCAGGGCTTTGCAGATATGGCTACATGCCCCCCCCTAAGCAATCATCTACCGTGTGGTCTCCCAAAAAAACAGACCCTGGACTGCCCCAAAGAAACCTTAAGACAGACACCAGCCAACATTCGGGGAAGCTCCAGGCTCGGGGTGCTGAGAGGGAATGCCTGCATGCAAAGGTCCTATTGATTTCCACTACGTTACACTCCCCTAAACCCTAAACCCTAAACACTAAACCCTAAACACTAAACCCTAAACCCTAAACCCTAAACCCCAAACCCCAAACCCTAAGGCAAGCATCGACTTGAGGTACGTCCGCACGTCGAGCTCAGAAGGATACCCAGCGGTGCCCGCAGGAACCATGGGCGACAAGGGGCTGCTGAAGTCCACCTGCAGGGGCTCTGCTGTGAAGAGGCCGTGCTCTCAAGTGGTTTTTTGGAATTCACCCATTGAATATGGGGGGAGGGGGGGCCCCCTGCATTCGGGGTACATTGTAAGGGTCCTTTGTTATAAAGGAATCCTACTATCGCTGAAGATGGGGGGGGGGGGGGGGGGCTTTCTGAGCCAGGCGTTGCCACGCTTGGTATCGATGCACTGCGCGTTCACACGCCCGTCTGTGTTCAGACCGTCTGATATCTTTCTCGGATGCTCGAAGGAAGTCACTGTGATTGAATTGACCACACAACTTGAGTTCTTCCAGAAGTAAACTCCACAGCTCTGCCTTGGAGCGGCGAGTCTGTGCATTTGTAACAGCATGACAGTGTGCACCTTAAGGTCCTCCAGCTGCATAGGGTTTAGGGGTTTAGGGGTTTAGGGTAGGGGTTTAGGGTTTAAGGGAGTTTTTCAGAGGCTGCCGCTCAAGCCGAGGAGTTCTGAAGCTTCTGCAAACGGGCGCTTGGGATTTGGATGGTTTGGGGACTGGTGAACTTAACTAGCTTCGGATCTATGAGTCAGCATGAGCCCACGTTGAGTCCATGGATCATCGTTGGAACTTTGTGGCTTACACCCCGCACCTTCTCCTCCCCCCCCACCCCCCCCCCCCTCCCAACCCCAACACACTCGATATTCAGGATGATGGCATGGCTTTGCTACGTACATTCCTCTCTTTGGGGCATGGGGCCACATCTCGAGACCACGGGAGTTTAACTCCACCATCCCCGCAAGCTCAGAAAACTCCCACCCTAAACCCTAAACCCTAAACCCTAAACCCTAAACCCTAAACCCTAAACCCTAAACCCTAAACCCTAAACCCTAAACCCTATAAACCCTAAACCCTATAAGCCCTAAACCCTGAACCCTAAACCCTAATCCCTAATCCACCTTGTGGCTGACTTCGGCAGGGAGGCCCAGGAAGATCACCCCGTTGTACATGTCCATGTCGGGCTCAATCAGGTGCATCCTAAGGGGTTTAGGGTTTTGTAGGGTTTTGGGTTTAGGGTTTGTAGGGTTTGTAGGGTTTGCAGGGTTTAGGGTTTAGGGTTTAAGGTTTAGGGTTTAGGGTTTCGGGTTTAGGGTTTAGGGTTTAGGGCTGTGGAGGGGGTCTTGTCGGGACGAGGGCGCTTGGATTTCTTGGCCCCCGTTTGTTTAACAACCTCAGGGAATCTTCCGATGCTTGGCGACAGGCTGTTTTTCTTCTTACCGGATGTGCCATTTTCCCCACTCCGCCCGACAGACCCGTGGAAAGAACGTGCAAACATTGCCATCATGACTAAAAGCCGGAGGCACATGTGAGTCGGCTGTGCCAGATACTAAACTTGCAAACTTGCCAACCGATGCATGCGCCTCAGATGTCAAACCGCCTCGATGCCACAGTATGTGTACTCTCGAAGTGCACTTGTGATCAGTTCCATGTGCAAGGTGCGGAGCATCACTCTAGGGTTTAGCTGGGCCCCGGCGGGCCCCCGCGGGGCTTAGTGAGCCGGCTCAGCGGGGTTTAGGGTTTCAGTCGAAGGGATTGCCACGGCCCGAACCCTTGACTCCAGAACTCATCCCAACCCCAGACAAACCGCGGTGGGGAGTGGGGGCTGGGGCTGGGGTGGGGGTGGGGGTTCGGGGTGGGGTTGGTTAGGTGGGGTGTCCAAAGCTGTGACTGGTTGCACTGCAGGCAGAACGCGGGAAGTTTCCCCGAAATCCCCTGAACTAGACTGCGAAGGTAGCTTCGCATTCACCTCCACGCGCACGCCGCGCGGTTGCGAAGGGTCCTGGTACTGCACATGAGCCAGGACTCCCAGTAGCCCCCCTTGCAAAAGCCAGATTCCTCAGACTCCTTCTTGTAAGTAGCAAACTGTCTAATGCTAGGAGTGACCTAAGCCTAACCAGTAGTTTACAAAGGCAGTAGAAGAACAGTATCGTCAGGACCCCACGTCCGTTAGCAGCAACGACTTCCTATGCCCGTCCTTGTGGTGCTGCACACAGTACACCTGGATCTTCCCTGACAGGAAGCTCGGGGTTTAATGGTAGCAGGGTTTCGGATTTAGGGTTTAGGGTTTATGGTTTAGGGTTTAGGGTAGCAGCCCCCGACCGACAACATAGCTATAGCAAATTGGCCCTCAAACCCCGTTCCTCAGCCCTCCTCAGTTTAAGGCTGGCCGAGGGAGTCAAAAGTGTAGGATGTGGCGGTTTTCTGAAATTAAGGGTACCTTATTGGGGTCCTGATTATCACGGGATCCTACGATAAATTGAGGGATCTATATTGGGGGTCCCTGTTTTCGCAAACCTCGGCAAATTAAATGCAGCCAAAAACTTCGAGCTCTTCTCCATCCCTACACCCACCTAGAAAAGAAGGCCCCCCTCTGCTGCACATTATTGCTTGAGGATTTCTGAGGAAATGGAAACGTAAACGTCGCCACGCCCCTAGTCCTAAACTCATTTTATAATCTCAGGCACGGGGGGAGGAGGGTCAGAGGTGCATGGGTGCATCTCCACTGAAATGACTTGACTCGGCTCTTTTCAGAACTTCCCACACGAAGTTGCGTGTTACCCCTTCAGTCTACTGAGTTTGGGTGCAGGCAACTTTACCCCACCAGCCAAGAAAAACGACCCTCCAAGTGCCTCTGTGCCCTTCTAATTGCTTCTTAGAAAGCTATCGAGATACCTTCTGTGAAGGCCGCGACCTTCTAGGAAGCCCGGACAGCTTCTAAGAGCTCCAAGTAAAGTGGTGCGATGGGCAGGCATGCTCTCCAGGGGGGGGGGGGGGGGGGGCTGTGTTGCGAAGCGGGTGCTGAGGGATTCAGCTTCTCAGGGCTTGGCTTCCAAGACAAGCCTGCAAAGGTCTCGGACCCAGCTAAGCGCGCACCCTCGTGCGAACTTGTCTTAAGGTGTGCGGTGCTTGGCGATGGGCAAGGCCCATCGTCAAAAGTATATCTGCAAAACGCGGCGGGTGCTTCAAACGAGGAGGCTTAAATTACAGAACAACAGGGCCACACAGGGCCGCAGGGGGCTATAGGCATGAGACACGGGCCCTGATTGGGAAAGGGTGCTTGTGGGTGCATATCGTTGACTCGTTTTGCATTGAGCATCATTTGGGGCGCTCCTGAAAGATTGCTGACATCAAGGACATATCAATGACGTATTAACGACATATGAGCTTCCGGGGTCATACATACATATCCATGTCACTACCTTTCGGTATCGTGGGATATCATGGGGAAGCCCCGGCCTTGTGACAAGCTGAAGCCAGTCCTTGCAAGATGCCAGTTGTTTGGGCTCCGGATTACGATGGTTTACGATAGTTGTCGCTGGGATAACACATCGTCCTGCTCACACCCTGGTATGTTGGCCTGGAGTCAGAAAGGTATCGAAACAGAATGTCTGCAATACGATGCTGCCAACAGGACCCTCACATGAGTTCTATGACTCTGTTCCTGGCTTTGCTGGCAGAATTGCGATCGCTGCAAACTCATGTACACAGAAATACCACTACCACCCAGGCCTGAGGTATGAAATATTGGCTCGTTGACATGATGATTATCATGCTCCAGCATGCTTCGCTACACTTCATCTCAATCTCTCCACGCCCGGCCCCAAAGCTCAGGGCAGCTCAAGTCAAGAATTGTGACTCGCTGGCTTCTACCTGGAACAGTTGCGGCTTTCGCTTCAGAACGACCTACAATCTTCAAACGGAAGCCAAGGCCTCAATAGGGGCCTCCATGGCCTTTGCAACCGAGCTGTCCTCTTGGCGATCCTGAAGGTCAGCTGCACGCAGCCATCCACCACTCTCAGCAACGCTGTGTCGCTGAACATCACGCTCGCTGCGTGAGCACTCGCCTTAGCCAAGGCTGGAGGCTTAGGTTTTTAGGGTTTAAGTTTTAGGGTTTGGGGTTTAGGGTTTAGGGCTGCCTTTCTGGGAATATGCCTTCATCTGCTTCTGCTCCGATCGCACTGGACACGGCCGGTGCCAGCATGTCCTGTGGGACTGCCGGCATCCCACAGCCTAACTAACAATGAACTTCCAACTGACCGGCAACGACGGACCGCATATGCAGCCCAGCAGCCGCTGAAATCCTCAGCTTGGTGCACTACGGTGCACTCATGTACGGGCTTGTGATACTGCTTTCCGGGCTTGGAAACAAGAAGAAGTCAAAACTTCTCGCTTTGCAGGACCAAAGGCTGCATCTATACCCAGAGTGGAAGTGCGTTTCTACAGTAGGAGGTTGAGGCCACAAGTAGTCTACCCGTCGGCAATTCAGAAAAATGTTGGCCTTCACACCTCACTACCGCAACTCCACGCACGCAAGGCGTAGAAAAACCATCGGGAAAACACATCCCCCAACTCCCAGATACGTGATCTCACGGCTCGATCCGAAGTAGGTCTGCCAGGAAGCTGTGCAAAAACGATGCCGATCACAGCTGCATCTAGCATCTGCCCGCAGACGACCTGGTGGTGGCGACCCTAAGTTGGGTTTAGGGGTTAGGGTTTAGGGTTTAAGGTTTAGGGTTTGGGGTTTAGGGTTTAGCGTTTAGCGGCTTAGCGTTTAGAGTTTAGGGCTACTCAAAGGAGTCGGAACAAGGAGGGGGAGGGGGGGGAGAGGTGGGAGAAGGGGGCGGGGATGGGTGGTGCCAGGTGGGGGCCTCTGAGGTCCCAGTGCATGAAGATAAAAGAGCCAGAGGGCCTCGAAATCCAAGACCCCGCCTGCAACGGCAGCAAAAGTACGGCCTCTGGGCAGCCAGCAAAGTTCTCGGCTGGAGCACCATAGCCTGCTTCGCAACCATGCTAGAACGGCCTCCTTATGTGCCTTTTTGTTGCTGTGCAGTCGTTTTCCTCGGACTTTTCGCTTCTTGCTGTGCAGTCGAGGGCACCACTGGCGGCAAAGCAACAAAAAAAACGTCTGCCAGGCCCAGACTTTTTTTTTACTGTGCAGTCGTGCTTGGCCGCGTGAGGCCAAGGCGCGTTTTGTTGTCCTGCGCAGTCGTTCTTGGCCACGTGAGGCCTACTGGTAGGCGCACTTTTTGCTGTGCAGTCGTGGGCTCGGGACTCACTCACGCACCTACCCCCCCTTCCGGCACGAGGCGCTTTTAGGCGCATTGTTTTTTGTTGCGCCGTCGCGGGCCCGGAACTCGCCCACTCACTCACTCACTTCCGGTTTGGGTGGGTTTCACGACTGCACACCAAAAAAAGGCTCGCCCAGCCGAGCGCTTCCTTCTTGCTGCGCCGTCGCGGGCCCGGGACTCACTCACTCACTTCCGCTCCGGGTTCCCGCACATTCACATAATGGCAGCCTGCGACGGCGCCGCAAAAACAAACACGGCTCACCACGCGCACGTTCTTTTTTTTTCCCTGCGCCGTCGCGCGCCCAGGGCGCGTTGCTTTTTGCTGCACTGTCGCGGGCCAAGGACCCACTCACTCACTTCCGCCCTGGCGGCTGCACAATCACGGTAGCCGACTGCAGACCCAACAAAAACAGGCAGGCACGGTTTGACACACATTTTACATAAAACCAGCGGGCGACTGCACAGCAAAAAAACAAAAATGAACAACACGGGTTCACACCACGCCTGAAAAAAGGCCCGTTTTGGCATACGACCTCTACAACACAAGCCTTGGGCTCAGTTACAGGGATGCACCTTCAGCTCTCTAAGTACGTAGCCCTAAACCCTAAACCCTAAACCCTAAACCCTAAACCCTAAACCCTAAACCCTAAACCCTAAACCCTAAACCCTAACTCCAATTGCAGTATCGAAGCCGATGGTCATCTGCGTCTCCACAGAAAAGTAGAAGGCCGACATAAGATTCGAGAGCCTGAGGTTTGGGGCGTGCCTGAAACATCCTGAAACCAGTTCTTTTTTCTAGGTTTCCAGGCTTTTCCAGGCCTGTGCCTTGTGTTTTTGTCCCTCGTTTGGTCCTACTGCTCATGGCCTGTAGATTCGATGAAATTGGATGTCGCTCCATGCTTCCATTTGGCTGCACTGGCCCATGCAACATCATCTGCATACAGAACCCCAAGAACTCCGGAAATAGCCGACCTCAAGATTTCACTGCTTTGCCCGAAGTTACCAGCACAGCTTGTGTGGATACTGACACCAATTATCCCATCCGCTGGTTTCTCACATAGCGTGCACGTAACATGTGGTATGGAGGCAACTTCACGATGTCCCTACAAGTTCGGCTTCAGCTCATGGCAGCGCAGGGAGTAAGCTTGACCCGCGCCCAAAGGCGAGGGGCGCTGCATAGCTGAGAACGCTGCTTCCTTTCGTGGTTTCTTTTTCTGGTCATTCCTTTGCAAGCCGAGAGTCCCGATCGCGCAGCTGTCCGAAATGCTCCACCACATAATCGCGAAAAGCAGATGGCAGAGTGCCTTACCGGCGATTGTCGGCGATACAGCACATGCAGGATGTGGGTTTAGGGTTTAGGCTCTCTTGCATGGGTCTGAGGCCGCGGCGTAAGAGATGAAGACCATCGGGTAGACACCCAGAACGGGCACTTGAAGTATAGTGTGGAAGAAGTCATAGAAGAACATGGCATAGATCTTCCGCTTCTTTCGCACCCAATACACCTGTCCAAGGCATCAAACGCGAAGCCCGAAGCCAAGGAGAACGCCGGAACCCGGGAGCCCTTTCTCGCTGAATTTAACTTGTGGTGTATTGTGAGGTGTTGCCTGCGTATACAAAAAACGTCAAAAAACACAATGGCATGACATGCCACCCCCTTCCATTTCAATGCGCGCACGCACACATACGTGGGCCGTGTGTTCATGCGCCCTGCGTTTGCCATGCAACTTTTTGGTGGAAAGGTGTGAGAGGCCATGGCACGCAACACAGCTTTGGGCTGACAGGAGGCGCGGTATTGTTTTGGATGTTAAGTGTTTCCTAAGTCCTAGGCGGAAGCGCACTTTGAAAGAGCCCAAAAACTCAAAACTACCAAAACTTGCTCACAGCTCGCATGCTTTTGACATGCCAGGTAAACTGTCAGTTTAGCAGCTAAGCTTTGCTATGGCCTCGACGTCAGAGGCGCCCAAAAACCTTCAAACTCTAGCTCCGAAAAGATCGGGGGGAGGTGCAAACCCGTTACAAATTTGCACCTTCCTGGGTTTCGGGTTTAGGGCTGTTCCAAAAATGGAACATGAAGTACGCACATCATCCACGGCATTGACACGGATATCTCCTGCTGGGTAGCTACCATGCCGGTGAGAGACATGACATCACCAGGTTGCAACTGCAGCTTGCCAAGCCCCGGCATCAAACAGACTATTGGGGGTTTCCGAAATTAGGGGTATCTTGTTGGGGTCCTTATAAGGGGATCCCACCACTTGGGGGTGTATATTAGGGTCACCTATTTCAACCCCGCTGTTGGCCACGGGCGATATTCTGATACGAGCAAGCTCTACATAGACTCTCTTCGTTCACCCCCCCTTTTTGATTTTGGCAGCTGCTAATACCCTGGTGGTTTGAAGTGGGTATGCGATAGTTTAGCTTTCTTAAGAGAATGTATTCATTCGAGACAGTGTGGTCTCAAAGCGAAAACCATCTACTGGGAGAATCGGGCTGCCCACTAGTGCCCCAGTAGCGCGTACACTTATACCTTGATATAGCCCCGAGATACCCTAACAAGAGCCCCCCCCTACAAGAGAGAAACCCTACTTAAAGAGGCCACCAACCAATGTAGTATGTGTCGATTCTATATTCGGTAGCTGTCTACTGTAGCACTTCGGAACTTCGGAGCTGTATGGCGGCCCACCCGCGTGCTCTGGGACTCGCCGGCATCGCGATCCAGAATGCGCTTGATCTTGCCCCTCTGCTGCACCAAGAAGTGGCTGTCCTGGGATGCATGGAATCGGGTTTAGGGTTTAGGGTTTAGGGTTTGGGGTTTGGGGTTTAGGGTTTAGGGTTTAGGGTTTAGGGTTGGAATAGTGGGGGGATCCCGGGTTCCGTTAGATCTAACCGATCAAGTCTCATGGAACGACCCCACTCCATGGCCTTATGTCGCCACACGAGGATTGAAAGCTGAGCTCATGGAGAAACTCCGTAACGACTCGCAACAAAGCTGTGCGAAATCGTGCTTTTCCTTGAGAATGAACGGACCGTGCCTTCCCTGTTGCAGTCGCTGGTGTACATGTTGTTTTCCGAACCTGCTGGATTTGCTTCCTGAGTTGGCTTTCCTGTTTCTGAAAGTTTCTTCCTTATATCTCTGTTTCATGTGATTGCAGTACACGCATGGTGCATGACAGTCCCGAACATGCGGCGCCCAGAAAACCCTTCGCCGCGATTTGGACCACCAAATACCACCTACCTCCCCCGGCCCCCCTGGTTTGCAATACAGGAAGGCGTTTCCTGCAAGTTTCCATTCTGCAAGGTTGCCCAACTCTGCGATCGGCTGTGCAAGCAAGAACCATCCTGTCAAGTGGCCCGGCGCGTGATCTCTCGCAGGGGTGCCGAAGGAGCCGTGGTCACATGGTCAAACTCATCTTCATCCTGACAATCATGTCAAAGTGCTGTCGGTTTTCACATTGCAGATCGTTCGCTGTCACTGCATATGTCGCTGATGCCTCCTCACGATGTTGCAAGGGATCGGAGTCCGTGCGGCAGTCCTGACATGGCACTGGGTGCATTCAAGACCTGCTCGGAGGCCCTACATCCGGGCTTTGGGTGCTACGGCGATACGCGATCCCGTAATGCCAACAAACCAGGATGCGAGATCTATGCTAGCGACTGCTCGCCCCGCTAGCGCGAAAGCCAGAGATCGAAACCCGACCTTGGGAATAAAGGACGTGGCAGAGCACGCAGAACCCTTCAAGAACTTCACGCACATCCCGGGCACCCCTTTGAGAGCGCCTCCATACTCTGCCCCGCCACGGCGCTCAACATCAGAGGCCCAGTTGCATGGCACTTGCCAGGACTTTACCATTCGAGCTTTCTTGGCCAGGCCTAAGGTGGGCTTCTGGTCACTCAGGCGAGTAGGTGTCATTCAACTGTTGAGTTTGGGATGTTCCTCAGTAGGGACTATAGTACACCCCCCCATTAAAATCCCTGTTAAGGGCTGTTAGGGGAACATCCCAATCTTGGGTGCTTACAAGGCATTGGGTCGCACTGGATGGACAGACACGTCGGAGGTATGGACTCGTCTATACTCGTGCAGCTGGAGGACGTCAGAGCTTAGCCTTTTCTGGGCAACGCCTCTACGCCTATGGTGCTAAAGTGGTGTTGCCCAGTTAGTGGATTTAAATGTTGAGCACAATTTGTGGGTGATGTTGCCATGTGACAGCATCGTCACAATTGGTGAAGACTTTTGGCGAATGCCAGACTTGATCCAGAACAGCTCCGGGCCGATACATGTTTACACCCTGCTGCACTACAAGACTTCATCACTTGAAACGGCCAACAGCCCCCTTCTGCCTGCACAGTTCTTACTCGGTAAGTCCATCATGTCAAGCGTGACCCGTCGACGTGAAAGCCGGTTCTGACGTGCCAACATCCAGCAAGCAAGCTCTCAATCGACCAACAAAGGCCGATCAAAATGCACCCCCCCGCCCCCAATCTGTGAAATCACCAGAGGCCGCAAGGCTCGCTCAGGGAAAGCAACGGTCGTTAAGCCCTAAACCCCTAAACCCTAAACCCTAAACCCTAAACCCTAAACCCTAAACCCGACTTGGCATCCTGGACCCAGGCTGGAGATGGAGCCGGGGCCGGCTGCGCAGCACCGCGGCCACCAGGTCCTGCAGTGCAGGTCGGCTCAGGCCATGACGAAACTCCCCTTAGAACCGTAATAGTAATAATAATTTTAATAATAATAACAACATGTGTTTAATATCCTCTTGGGTCTTATATGAACAAAAATAAATAATTCCCCAGAGAGGATGTAGATGATTTGCAGGGCTTCAAGCAGCCAGGCAGGATGGTTCGGCCAGGTTGAGCTGGCTGCAGGGTAGCTCTTCCCGGTCTTGGTAGTGCAGTAACCTCTGGTAAGGGCACCCTTTTTTGGGTTGGTTACTGTACGAGGGAACCCAAACCCAAAAAAAGGGTTAAAGGGCACCACTTGGGGTGCCAAGCACTTGAATTCTCACCTCCCGGCTTGGGTTCTGGGGAGAGCAAGCTCGACTCGGGCTGAGAGTGCGCCTGCTGCGCCTCCTGCGCCCGCAGCTCGAGGCACACATCAAGGAGCAGAGCATCCCTGCTCAGGGTGTAGGGTTTAGGGTTTAGGGTTTAGGGTTTTAGGGTTTTAGGGTTTTAGGGTTTAGGGTTTAGGGTTTAGGGTTTAGGGTTTAGGGTTTAGGGTTTAGGGTTTAGGGTTTAGGGTTTAGGGTTTAGGGTTTAGGGTTCAGACTTCAGGCACGGGGATTTCGCAATCAAGAAGGAGTGCTTCGAGGTATCGGAAGCGCGGGCCCCTGGAACATCTTTGATAGCCTGGTGATTGCACTCTGACTTTGATGTGCCAGTTCCTAGCAAATGCAAAGACGACTAAATACACTAAACCCTAAACCCTAAACCCTAAACCCCGAGCAAAGCTGGGCCCCCAGCTTGCTAGGTGGGAAGAGATGGGCATTGCAGCAAACCTGCGTTTTCGGGTTTTTTGAGATCTGTGGGGTTTAGGGTTTAGGGTTTAGGGATTAGGGTTTAGGGTTTAGGGTTTGAGGTTTAGGGCTTAGGGTTTAGGGTTTAGGGTTTAGCCCCATGGAAAACAGGCGTGCTTGCAAGTCTGGGACTTGTTGCCCTTGTGGGGGATCGTTCTGTGTCCGCAAAACCCTAAACCCTAAACCCTAAACCCCAAACGGATACTTGTAAACAGGTTGTCCATTCGCAGTCAGACTGCGGTGGCGTGAGCCGATCTCGGGTGCTCCATCTGGGGGTTTACGAAAAATAAAGGACCCAGAACATGTAGAGCCCCAACTACTGGGATTCCCGTATAATCATAAAGGACCCCAATAAGGTACCCCCAATATACACCCCCAAATGGTATGATGGACCCCAATAAGGTACCCCTAATTTCGGAAACCTCCATCTTCTGGCAAAGTCGAGGAGTCGGTGCGATGCTGGCCGCACACAAATGTCTCGGTCGACGCCTGGCCTTATGACGTCGTCCCATTTTTGTCCACTTGTACATTCCCTTTGCTTTCTTGAGTCACTCACTGGAGTCTCTTTCTCACAGCTTCGGCTGGCACATTTGCCCAAGAAATCCTTGTCGATCTGCTTCAGCTCTTCCCTCCTTGTAACTTGAGCGATTGCTTGATACAATCTGCACCTGCACCTGCATTGATGATGTTCGCAATGCTCGCGTCTTCCAACTCCTTTCAGTTGTTTCCAAAGCACTCTGATCGGTTCTGCCCCGTCGTGGCATTAGGCTTCCCCCCGTTCAGCCCTCGCCGGTCTTTGTGTTGGATCCCTGGATCCCCTGAGTTTATCCCCCCCCCCCCCTCCCGACCGTGCCCCGTGCCACCCCGAAAAACCCAGGGCGTGCTGCGTGGGTCCGGCTCCCAAGGCGAGCACACTTCCAACTTCCCTATGCCCATGATCCCCGGACGCCAAGATTTCTGCGAGACTCTGCTTGCACATGCCTAGACATGCTTGCACATTGGAGCCTCGCGGAGCAGCGTGCTGGCTGTTGAAGACACCTCATCATCCATTTCTCTGGTCCGAACAGTGGAGATCTCGGGGTTCATGGGAGCTCATGGAAGCTCATGGTGGTTCATGGTCTGAAAGCATCAGTGCTCCAAGAGGTGATGCCCAACTGATCCAGATGGAAGGGCAGGGGGTGGGGTGTTGGGTGGAGGGTAGCATGGGGTTCAACTTGAGAAGCCGGCGGCACATGTATGTCCCCAGCCTCCTTGTCCTCAGAGCCGAGCAGGGAGGCCAAGTTCCGCAGCGCGAAAGCGTTGAAGAAGAACACCTCTGGAAAAGCTTGCCGGAACTCGACCTCCAATCCTGACTGCATGCAAGCTATCATCTTCCCCCCTTCTGAATGTAGCCTACTATGCCTACTGCAGGACCGGAAAAATCCGATTGCTTCTTTAATTCGTTGCTTGTTAAGCGCCGCCCGCCTTCGTCTGCCGTGGCAATTGCCGCTGGCGCACGACCAGCTCCAGTATCTGAGAGGCAGCTACCATTACCCATGTGGGCTACCCATGCGCGTTCAGGGTTTAGAGTTTAGGGTTTAGGGTTTAGGGTTTAGGGTTTAGGGTTTAGTTGTCGAAGCGGGGGGGACTAGAACAAGAGGAGCAGCGTCGTGAACTGGATTGGCCAAAAAACATCTGTCTTGCCCATGCCCTGGTCGACGTGGTCGAGAGAACCCCAAGGAACCCAGTTGAGGAATCCGAAGATATCTTTCAGCTCTTTCTGCTCTCAGCTGTGAAGGGGAAGGGAAAGGGGCGAAGCTCCCAGCAGCTGCTCAACCGAAGTTAGAAGGTAAAAGCGTCGGCAGACGTGTGTGTGTGTGTGTGTGAATGAGTGAGTGTGAGTGTGAGTGTGAGCGTGAGCCTGAGCGTGAGCGTGAGCGAGTGTGAGTGTGAGTGTGCGGGTGAGTGCGAGTGTGAGTGCGAGTGTGAGTGTGAGCGTGTGTGTGTGTGTGTGTAGGTGTGTGTATGTATACGTGTGCTTGTGCGCGTGTTTTGCTACTCGGGCGCCGCGCATCGCGCAGGAAGGCCAGGGCTTCCTGTGGTGGATCCTCGCGGGGGCTTCAAGAAAATGCTTACTGAAGTGCTCGGGACCTTTTGGAGCTCTGAGGGTCTCAAGGGTTCAGGTGGCTACCGCAGAATCTTGCGGCGCTCAAGAAGCCCTCTCAGTCCTGTCAAGTGGCTCCGAAGCCCTGACTTTAGGGGTTGAGGCTAAAGCGGCTAAAGCCGTGGCACCACAGCACCTATTGAAGCTATTGAAATGCGTCCTGTGAGATGCCACGCAGAACGCCGCCAACCAAGTCTTTGATGCCTGCAAGGGTAGGAGAAGGGGTTAAGGATTAAGGGCAGCGGCAAAGCTTTATCAAACAAGTATTCGGGCTTTTGAAGAGGTTCCAGACCAGCCAAAGGCCATTGCGGATGCGGGCTTGCGAAGATCTGAAGCACTCTAATCGTTGGGATTGCTGCGAAGTCACGCGTGACAGCTTTCATCCTCTACGCATTCGCTTCATG